CACCCTTGGAATTCCAAACTGCAACACTTAGATATTGCAACAGTCAGGGTCATGTTGTTTCCAGGAATCCAGGCTCTGTAATCTGAATCCCATTATGCTAATGAGGCATCCTACCTGCTATTCTGTGATAGGACGTTAAGTCTGTTATGCTAATAAGGTATCCTATTTGTTGTGCTGTGATTGGACCACTACCCCTATATAAGTCCACAATAAAGCAGATCTGTGTCACCAAACCTGGTCTCCTGCACCTGAATGTGGCGATGCTGGCTCAGACACCTCACCAGCCCTGGGGTCCAGACCAGATGACTGATCAGAGGAACTGAGAGAGCAGGAGAGCAGCCATAGCCGGAGGAGAGCAGCCACAGCTGGCGACCACACCTGGTGCCCAACGTGGGGCTGGGACCCCCTCCCCACAGAGCTGTAGCACTCTGAGCTGTAAAACTTGGGCTCCTGATGCCCCCCTTTCTAGGTGCTCTTCCTGTGGTTGCTCGCTGCCTTTGTTTTGTTCTGCTTTTTCTTCTGGCTTGCAATCTTCAGTTGGGCATTCCACTCCTGTCTTCGCCGATTGTCTCCTTGAACAGTTCCTGAGTCCGTTTGGGTACATCTTGCAGGGTGAGTGACCTCTGGTATGGGGAATAGTCATCCAGCTGCTGCTGGCCCCCATTCTGCTGCATTGGTTTCTCTCCTCAGGAGTAGGCAAATTAGGGTAACAAAAAAAGGAAGTAACTAAGGTATTAGATGAAGTGCTAGCTCTTGCTCCTTGGTTTATAGATTCCTGCTGTTGGAATCTGGAGCAATGGGCTCGTGTGCTATTCATGGCCAGAAAGAGAAGTCAGGAAGGGGTGTACATTATATGGGCCGTTTTACCCCATTGTGACTACCATTCTGGCCTCACTTCGGGGAGTTCCCCCCAGTGCCCGAGTACAATAATCTCATTTTTTTCATATTTATTTACAAGGCAAAATATTTTGTTTCATAGGTTAAAGTAAGATAGACCTGTTTCAAGGACACTGTCTAAAGTTCTTCATAAAAGTAATCCATTTTGGTGGCACTTAGACTCACTGCACTTATTCCTGTTTCAGATAGCTTTCTTTTTTCACAGGAAATCAAAATGAGTGGGTCGTTTCAAAGAACATGTGGCCCTCTATCAAAGGAAAAAGAAGGAAATCTTACCTTCATCTATCACGTTCTAATTAAGATGCTCATTAGTTACAAATAAAATGACACTGTCATATTTCCAGTATAACAATGTATAAAATATATGCTAAAACAACCACAACGGAAAGTATAGTGTAGCGCCAATTTATTATCACAACAGTAATGATTTTACATCACATAGAAGGGAATTGGGAGAATCAGAAAGTATAGTTTAAATTGAATCTTGCAGCTCAAACCTGTTAATAGTTTAAAATTAAGCTAAATCTAATTATGTTTTGTTATTTCGTTAACAGTAATGCACCCATGTTCATTTCATAATTTTTTCAAACGTGCTCACAATAAAGCAGTGTGACAGTATCTAGGGAAACTTTGAATAATATTCTAGAAATTTCTATAGCATTGTATTTGTCAGTATCTAAAATTTGTCCAAATAAGCCAGGTATGTTGGCACAGGCCTTTAATCCCGGCACTTCAGAGGCAAAGGAAGGTGGATCTCTATGACACAGAGGCCAGCCTGGTCCACCTAGTTAATTCCAGGCCAGCTGGGGCAACAGGGAGTCCAGACCATGTCTCAAAACAACCAACCAAACAAAAACAAATAAATAAATAAATAATAAATAAATAAATAAATAATAAAACTATCCAAATAGAAAATTAAGTAGAAAGAAAATGTTTACTTTTTTCTGTCAAAACACTAGCAAAACAGATTTATATGTAGATAGGCATGTGCCATTGAATGAAATACAACACTATTTGCATGGTAATAGCCATATGTGTGCCACTGAATGAATTACCACATCTCAAGTTTTAGGTCCATGAAGGAAAAATCAATACTTATTTTGTTGGAGTTCATCAATGTCTGATGTAACCCAGGGTGGCTTCAAGCACAACAGATAGCCTAGGATAAACTGATCTTCTGATCCTCCTGTCTCTACCTCCAAGTGTTAGGATTAGGCTGCTCTTGATCTTGCTGAGGGATCCCTCACAGTAAGAACTGCAGTCCTTGAACCATCTGATGAGCAATGGCCTTAGGGACTGTGCCTCCCTGATCAGCACAGTCCATATTGCCCACTATTTCTTTTTGGGTTTTTTGTTGGTTTTTTATCTCCCTTTAGCCACAGCTGGACTGGGACTTGCTATATAGTCCAGGATGGCCTCTGTCTTACTGAAATCTGCTTGATGCTGTCTCTTGAGTGCTGGGATTGAAGGTATGTGCCACCACACAAGGCCCCACATTGCCCACTTCTTCATTCCCATTCTTTTCAGTAATTCAGATCTTTACAGCAGCACTCAGATGACCATTTCTTTTTAAACTGTTAAGTACATATATAACATTTAAAATAATCAGAATGGTAAATAGGTTATCATTATAACTCGTTGCTTTTAAATATATTTCAAACAAACAAATTTGTTACTAAGATTAAAAAGAATAAAATTGATCTGAAATTACACTTTATGTTAAATTCCTTAAATCCATATTAAACTATTTTATTTATTATTTTATTTAAAGTGTATGAGCATATTTCCTGCATTCATGTAAAGACACCTGTGTCATGCAAGGCCCACAGAGGTCAGAAGAGGGCATCAGATCTCCTGGAACTAGAGTTTAGGGTGGTTGTTAGCTGCCATGTGAGTGCTGGGAATCGATACCTGGTTGTCTGCAAAAGCAGCCAGTACTTTTAACCTCTGAACCATCTTATAGCCCCAATCCATCATGTTTTTGGTCTTCAATTTTTATATACAAGTGAAGGATTTATTTCTTCCCTGCATAGCTATATATTTTCCATTCCAGGATTCTCCAGGAAATAAGTCCTCTTCAGTTACTTATTATTTTTCTCTCTCTTCAGTGTTACTCTGCTGATACGTTTATCAGTTTTAATACATTTACTCCTTATGCAATATTAGAAATATTCTTTTTGTGTTTCTTGACATCTACTCTAGAGGATTTCTGAAACTTCTTTTTTGATATCTTAGTTAAGTTCATTTTAAGAGAGATGCTAATCCACAGTAACTACCACTAAGGTAGTTCAGACCTTTGACCACTTAGATTTTCCTGAAAAGTGTTAAGGCTGACTCAAAGGCTTATGGACAATTAAGTGGAGATAATTATGTCAGCAGACTTTTTATCTGACCTGAGTCACTCTATCTGACATTTACTATCCTTCATTTCCCCTACATTAGTGTGTGCTTGTGAGAAGAGTATGCTTGTGCTCTCTCTCTTAACATCTGTGTTGAATGGAGCAACATTTCAGTTTACCGATTCCTATGTCTCCACTCTTTACACAAGCCCAAACACTACATTTTAACTAAAAATACCAAAATGGTGAGAACAATAGTGTTACCCATTGATGATATCCTCAGGAAAAAGAAAAGCAAAGTACTACTGGAGGGATAATAGAAACAATAGGGCCTGCTGTTTTTCTGTTACTTGGTTTCAATTTCAAGAAGACAAATTGGAAATATATTTAATTACATTAGACTTGAAGAAATAGGTGCTCAAAAGGAAGGGATGAAAGAGGGAGGCAAAAATGGAAGAAATGGAAGGAAAGAAGGAA